TTTTTTTTTTTTTTGGCTTTTTGCCTGGATGTGGAATCTTCCAAAGATACCAATGAAGATCTCTAATACAGTAGCTTTTTTATATGAAATCTGTCACACTAACGCCCTCACTCTATCTTTTGGCGAACTAAACAGAATAAAGTTTAATATAAAAGTAAAGTCTCCATCAGGATATTTTATACAGCCGGTGTCAAGATCAATAAAACCAGTGTTGAGATTTTATAAACAACCGTATACAATACAATTGTATATACGGAAGGGTTGTATATACATGTCTATAGGCAGTGTCCAAAAACAACAACAATGCTGTGCGTACCTATGGAATCATTGTTTCTCATTCTTCCATTCTCTTATTCGCAAAACAACGACTCCGTAGGTACACTGAAACGTGTGTTGTAAAGTAAGACATTGTATATTGTCATTGCCTACAGTTGTATATGCAATCGCTCTTATTTTGTGCAGTATAGACAACATCACTGAATAAAACTGTTAATAGAATCTGCCATTTTTACGCAATTTTGCGATGTGATTGCCAGATTAAGAATATAAATAAAATAAATGAACGGAATAAACGAACTTAACAGAACAGAATAATTCGCACGAGTGTATGACAAGTATGTAAGAGAACAATAACATTACGTTTTGTATCTATCTATCAAATGTCACACTCACACTTATGAGTTTACGTATGGAGATTTTAACAAAATCATTTCTACAAGATCTACACACTCTACACCCGAGGCTTTTTAAGTTAAATTAAAACGCATATAAATTTATGTTTTTTTTAAATAGAAATTATCTAATGCTAATTGTGCTAACTTCACTTTCAAAACAAAAAAATGAAACAATTTATTAAATTATTTTTCAACAATTTTTGGAATAACATATGCGCTCATTCTCAAACTTGTGAAATAATATCCCATTCTATATATAGATGGCACTGTCTATACGAAGTTCGGCAAACAAAGCATTACGCTTATTGAGCGCATTACACCTCTTTACCAATGGTGATGTGACCGATTAGCATGCACGCCAGGGGCTTTTATGTTAAAATGAATACTACGATTTCAGTAAATATTGAAACATAATGCTGAATATTCAATGAATATTGTATGTATATAAAGAATATACACAAATAAATGTGTATAATTGCATAAATTTGATGAATATTTCGTGAATATTTCGTGAATATTTCCTGTATATATGAAATATACATATTTTGTCATTCTCTTTAGTGCGGACTTTCTTCGTTCCTGTGTCGCTTACTGTGAATATTCACAACATACAGTAGAAAATACGAAATATTCACTAGAGATTTATGCCGTATATATGATGAATAAGACGTGTATATTGTGAATATTATGTGAATATTTCGTATATTCATATACATAAAAGCCCCTAGCATGCACGATTCGCCGACTGGGAAAGCGCCTACGTACTAAACCACACCCTTGCACACGCATGTATGTGTATGTGTATGTGTGTGTGTGTGTGTGCACTAATACTAAGAAACGTGGATGAAATCGGCTTTTTCATACTACTTCCATAACTTTTTTCAAGCACTTTTCATACAAATATTTACATTTCTCTTCTCATCTATAGGTTAAGACCTAAATTTCGCGAAATTTTGAGTGCATAGCCAAAACCGTCCAAGAAATGTGCACTATTTTTATTATTGATATATTCTATTACAAACGCATTCATTCTTCCACTATAAAACCCTTAAAAAGTATTCAATTCTCCAACCATTTTAATCACAACACATTCGTTTCATTTATTATTTACAATTATTTCCAAATTTTCGTAACATGTCGGTTGTCCTTTTCTCTCCTTTCTCTTTCAATTTTCCCATCGAATCGTCAACGTTAGAATTCTATATATTTATTATTGTTTGACCTTGGTAGCTAACTCCATAACTTTCCGGCGTAAAATTTTACCCGATGGAGTCATTGGAAGAGAATCGACAAAATAAACGCCTCCTCTCAGTTTGCAGTGGTCCGCAAAGTGATCTGAGTGTAATAAATATACATCTTTAAAAATATTTTTTTTTTTTTGGAAAAAATCTTTGAAAGGGGTCAAAAAAATACCTGCAATCAAATTATGAATATCTATTTCGGTCATATTCGTATCTTTGTTCCGTACAATGAAAGCGGCTGGTAAATCGGTACCTGCTACTTTGTCTGGTATTCCAATAACACACACAGCGTTTAAATCCGGCAATTCGATCAAGTAAGTTTCAATTTGTGAGGGTGAAATTTGAAAATCACAATACTTGATCATGTCTTTCTTACGATCAACGACAAATAAATGTCCGTTGCCATCGAAATGGCCAATGTCTCCGGTTAGGAAAAATCCATCTTTGTCTTGTGTTCCCTCTGTGGCACTACCATAGTAGCCAAGAAACTTGTAATTGGTTTTAAAACAAATTTCTCCATTTTCACCGACACCACACCGGTTGCCATGTTCATCGATGATTTTAATGCTAAATGAACTCAACAATTGACCAACTGAGCCGGTTGCACCGACATCAGTGGTCATTGGACCAGCCGCCTCTGACAATCCATATCCAGCCCAAATTTTTCCATTCGGCAATTTGGCATTGATTTCCCTTTGTACATTGTACGAACAATTTGCACCTCCGACTAAATGAATTTTAAGACTTGATAAATTGGTGCGAGAAAGAAGATCACTTTTTAATAACAAAGCTAAGTGATGCGATGAACTTAGACCAATGGTCACTTTATATTTCTCAATAATTCGAAGGTATAATTCGGGTTGGTATGATTCTTTTGTAATAATACGAGTGGCTCCGTGAATCGTTCCAGCAACCAGCATCATCCAACCAGTGATCCAGTATAATGAGGTGAATGCAAAGAGCACATCATTGAAAGCAAATGCTTCCAAGCGTGTTATCCATCCATCGAGCAATGCGGCATGTGATAAACAAACACCTGCGTTCCGAACAGGTTAGTTTGAATATTTTTTGAACTCTTTTCTAAATTTTGAATGTATTAAATGTATTTTTACCTTTTGGAAGCCCCGTCGTCCCACTGGAACAAACAATGGCGGCTATTTCATTTTCACCATCAACCTCCACTGGTCTGTAATTTGAATTTTTCGTCATTCAACTTTTGGACTATGATTACAATTTTACTTACACAAAATCGGCTTCATGATGCGTTTCTTCAAATAGATCCGCGACTTCTGCCGAATCACCGTTGGTTCCACCAAATGTAAATATCTGTGCATCATTCTTAAGCTCAACCAAGCACTCTTTGATTAGATCATATGCTTCCACGTCGCAAAATATTAGAGCCGGTTTAATTAGTTTTAACATATGCAAAAGTTCAATTTTTCCAAATGATGGATCGAGAGAGCTCACGGCACTGCCAATGGCCAGTGAAGCAAATACAATCGGCGCCAGATGACATGAATTTTTTGCCAAAATGCCTACCACTTGTTTTGAATTGAAGCCTCGTTTTTGAAGGTTTTGAGCGGCACGAATAGTTTTCATTCGAATTTCATCGTAAGACAATTGAATACCAGAGTCATCGCTTATCTGCAAGAATATTTTCGTCGGTGTCATTGAAATAGCAGATGAAAAGATCAATTTTGGGTGCACTTCATACCTGAGCAATTTTTGGTCCAAATGTCAAACAAGATTTCAATACCACCTGAGCCAGTGACACCTTTGGATTGTACAATGGAAGCGTATTGCGACCTTTCCATAATTTTGACTCTTTGTCGTATTGTGTTTTCAACATTTTTTTTGTTTTGAGTAGATGTTTTCCAACTTTTTCAAAAGCTGATTATAGTGAAGTGCGCTAAAAGCTGCGTTTTATATAGATATAAATGGTTCAAGTATCATTTGAGTCAAGAGAAATGAGATACGGATCGCATTTACGTTAATCACAGTGGTATGTTTTTAGGCACGTATTTTGTGGAATGCATGGTTTTATTATTTGGACTCACTTGAGATCGTATACGTGCGAAAGATCTTACATGGTTTTTGATGTGAGCGCAAAGTGAACGCGATTTTTGGTAAAAGAAGCCACGTTCTCAAGATTGGAGGTGGCCGCGTGTCCGAAACAATGGGAGGAAATGACAGCCAACCACCATGAGTCCCTGTATATTAATATAGGCGAGAAAAAAGTCTCACAATAATGCGCCATCTGTTGACGTGGTTATTAATGTATGTAATTACAAAGACGGAATTGTTGGATGGTGTCTTGTCTAAATTTTCATATCGCTTGTTTTCAACCACAATTCGCACACGTCACCAGATGGCGATTTTACAATCATTTACAATATGACATCTCTCAGTCATGATGGTTGATGACAGCAAATTTTAAAATTGGCGCGCCGTTTAGTTTCGATTTGAGTTGTTAGATTACATTGACGTCCCTTTTGAAATTGGTGGCGCCACCGTCGGCTCCATGAGACTTGAAGTCTTCATATCCTGTCATTGGTCCGAAAGAATGCTTTTAAAAAATTATTTGGTTAAAAAAAAAAAACATTTTTTCGGACGGACGATTAAAATTGTCCTCTCTTCGAACACTGGCATTTTTTGTCAGATTTAGGCGGTATGAGAAGTGACGTTAAAAGTATTTCAAACAGTTTCAACTTCGAGTTTCAACGTATTGTAATCAAGTTGATTTTGGATTTCCATACAAATTCATTAGAAAACCACCATTTCCAAGGAAAATAATGTTCCTGGTTGAATTTTTAAAAAGATTTTTTGTAAATTGAGCTCAGGAATTCGAAAAAAGAGTTTCAAAATTTTGAAATTCAAATTGATAGCTGATACTTTGGTTGAATTATGCGTGGTACAAAAAAAACGAACAAACCGAAAACAATTTCAAAGCTTGTTGATACATCAAGTAATAGCATGGTATCGTAATTATACAAAATACTTATCAATGAACTGTAGATAATGTTAAAATGCTTGTGAAGGTCATGTTTATCTTTTTTTCATTTTGTGTTTTTACAAAGATTGCAATAAAAATCCCCGTTGTATGTTCTAATCAAAATACGTGTGAATTTTTCATGTGTGTATTTGACGTAAGTGGCAGAGAATTGTTTTATTTTGGGGAATCACGCATATATTTTATTGCATAAGGATATTGGTATTATATGATTCGAAGCAC